ATCAGTTTGTTCTCTATAGTTAAGGGTCTGTTTCTTGGTTTGTCTTTGTCTTATTTTTTTCCCTTTGCTTTTTTGTTTCTTAAATTCCACTTGTGAGTGAAACCATATGGTATTTATCTTTCTCTGACTGACTTGTTTCCCTTAGCATTATACTCTCTAGCTCCCTCCATGTCATTGCAAATGGCACGATTTCATTCTTTTCATGGCTGAGTAATATTACATTGTGTGTGTGTGTGTGTGTGTGTACCACATATTTATCCATTCATCTACCCATGAACACTTTGGCTGCTTCCATATCTTGGCAATTGTAAATAATGCCGCTATAAACACAAGGATGCATGTATCCCTTTGGATTAGCTTTCTTATATTTGGGTAAATATCCGGTAGTGCGATAGCTGGAATTTTCACTATTGTGACTTGATGGACTCAGATTTTTAGATTGTATTAAAGTAAAAGTAAAGAAAAATCATTGCCACTGACCTGGAAAAGTGATGCAGAAAATGGTGTGGCTTAGATAATTATTACACTCACCTAGAAACTAGTATTGTGTAGATCCCATTTCCCATTAAGCAATATTATATTGGAAACTACCTTCGTAAGAAAATACAGTATGAACTAATTTATGGATATACTTCATAAGGACTAAACTAGTGATAATATAACAAAATTCTATAACCCTTTAAAATTGGAAGGCAATGCCTCAAACCTATCAAAGGCATAGATGCACCAATCACATTATCCACAAGGTTCCAATTCACCATAATCAGCACTTATATGTTAATACAAATGAAATACATTACAAAATTAATTTAGAATGGATATATCAGTTATCAACCATTAACCATTTAACAATATATATATTTTTTAATTTAAAACCTTTTGGGGATACATGTGACAACAAGGATGAAGCCTGAAAACATTATGCTAAATAAATTGAGCCAGCCCCAGAAGGACAAATGTTGTGTAATTTCACATATATGAGGCATCTAGAGTAGTCAGATTCATAGAGACAGAAGTGAATGTGGTTAGCAGAGGCTGGGGGAGGTAGGAGCATAGGGAATTCTTGTTTAATATGTACAGTTTCAGTTAGGGATGACCAAAAGGTTCTGGAGATGGGCAGTGGTTGCTCACAATGTACTTAATGCTACTGAACTACACACTTAAAATGGTAAAATGGTAGACTTATGAACATTTAAAATATGTAATTAAAATATGCACACACACACACACACACACACACACACACACACACATCCATCCAGGAGTCAGAAGAAATGTATTGAGACCTAAACAAAACAAAACAAAACAAAAAACAAAACCACACACAAAAACCTTGGGGGTCTGATTTTTATAGGCCAGATCTCTTTAAAAAACCTACCCAAGGCAGATTTAACTGATGACATCTTTTTCTGGAATATCTCATTGCTGCAAACAGGCATTCAAAGTCAATCATTTGGTCTGCACAGTTTGACATAATTCTTAAACATAACACACACACACACACACACACACACACACACACACACACAAAACCCACAAAAAGCAAAACCAAAAAATGCACTTAGTCTCTTGACAGTTTAAGGACAAGAATTGCCAAGATCTGGACAGCACGAATTTCTTCACTCCGGAAAATGGTCGGTCCACTTAATCACTTTTTCTTTGCTTTCTCCTTTTCCTCTTTCAACAGTTTCTATCTCCCATCCAGAAAGCAGAGCAAAACAAAGCAGAACTTTCCCCACCCCTCAAAGGGGAGTTATTGGAAAATGCCCCTTCAGGAACGAGACATGCTTTGGAGGGAGTGAAGGCTGTGTATGTATGTGTCTAGATGTGAGCACCTCGGTTTTGTTGTTTTGAAGAAGTTTTAGACAATATTATTTTAGGTGCACAGTAGGGAAGGGTGAAAAATAGCTACCTTTAAGTGCCTTTATTTGAGAAGAGTGGCACAGTGAGAAGCATAAGCTGTCTGTGCCGCAATAACTTTAAGAATTCTAACAAACTCAGAGAATGGTGATGTGCACTTTCCTAGATTTGTACCTTCCTTCTTGCGACTCGGATCCTGGAACGTCATTATGTTTGTGTGCTTTGAACAGCTGAAGAGGGAACTGATGAAGTCAAGGCAGACCATGGACTGTGCCACATAATCGTCTTCAGGAAAAGGATGTAACACAATGGTGGGAATCTGTGCTGACTGACCAGATAATTAACATCCAAAACAAACAGAACATACTCATTTTATTTCACCCTAAAAAGATAGAGGAATACTAATTGAGTTTTGGACTTTTTAAAGAAAAAATTGTATTTATTTCTTGTGACTTTTATTCTCAGTGTTTTAAGAGGGAGAAAACAAAACACTCAGTATGCACCCTGGCAAATGCAGTGTCCGGATAAATGACTGAATCTGCCTGTTTGGGGAGGGCTGGGGTCTTACGATTGGATATGAAGAACTTTAATATGTTTTAATTATAATTCAGGTCACCAGAAGAGGCAAATGGAGCGGTGCATTTTAGGTTTATAAATATTTAATGTTTCCTTTTAACTTATTAACCCAGTTGTAAGTTAATATATTCAATAAAGGACCGTTAATACCTTTAAAGGTTTGCCGTTTTGGACCTATATCTGAATCCAAGACTTGCAGTTCACCTAGACTACAAAGTGGTCCAATAACAAGTGAAGGTCTTTAGAACCAATAGGCAGAAACTTACTTTAAATGTAATTATTAGGGTTTTTTTTTTAATTTTTAGAGTCTATATTTTACGGCACTTTTAACAACTTCTAATCTAAGTCACTATAATCATTTGGGCCTATTGTTATTAGAATCGTGGTGTCGGGGCACCTGGGTGGCTCAGTCAGTTGAGCGTCTGACTTTGGCTCAAGTCATGACCTCATGGTTTGTGAGTTCAAGCCCCATGTCAGGCTCTGTGCTGACAGCTCAGAGCCTGGAGCCTGCTTCAGATTCTGTGTCTCCCTTTCTTTCTGCTCCACCCTCCCCTTCTCTCTCTCTCTCTCTCTCTCTCTCTCTCTCTCTCTCTCAAAAATAAACATTAAAAAAAATTTTAGAATCGTGGTATCTATCCCAGAGTTACAGCATTTTTGAGCCAGAAGGTACCTTTGGTTAGATACAGGAACAGTCTTAGATTTCTACTGGGATAAAAATGAATCTTCATGGCATCTTTCCAGCAAAGCTAAATTCATTATTAACACCTGCAGTAACCTTTTTTTCATGCCTACAAACTGAGTGCCGAAGAGACAGGGAAGGAATAAACAAGAGATTTACAAAGTATAAGGCATGGTCCAAGCTTGTTTTCAACCCCAAACAAGGAATGACACAAGGTCCAGGAAGCCCACAGGCTGTCAGGCAGCATTCTATTTGTTTTTATCGGCTCCATGTTCTATCTACTGTTGTCTTTTTCCCCTTGACTTTATGAGGTTTTTCCCTGGTGCTTATTTCCCCTGTTGTTACCTGCAAAAGTGTCTTGTAGCAAATGTCTTCAATATCCCTCACCCGTCACCCTGCTCTCACCACTTTAGCACACACAGGCCTGACTTCCTATTGTCATGTCAGCACCTCTACAGGGTCTTCTGGCCATCAGAGCCATCTTTGCACACCTGTGCACGGCATGCTAGACGTGCAGGGAAAATAACACACCCCTGGGAGGCCCTTGCCCAATAACTGATGGGAGTTGGTGTATAAATACTTCAGTCCCCTTATCCTCAGATGGAGTCACCCCTCATCCTCATCCAAGGGCTCAGAATCCAGTTACACACAGTGTTATTTTACTTAATACAAAATACCCTTAATGGGAGGACTTCAGTTCCCTCCCTCGGTTCCCCACTCCCTTACCAGCACTTCCTGGGATCACCTCCCAAATGAATGACACTTCTTTATCTCTAGGTCTGATTCTGGGGGAATCCAAATGGTGAAAGATCACCACCTTACAGCTGCATATTTCTGTCAAGGATTAGGAAGAAAACATAAAACTTCGTTTCTTTGCTGAAATCTTGCTCAGGCAATAGGCAGTAGTAACAAGATGCTCCCCTTTGACCAAACTGTAATCAGGCTCCTCTGAGCCGTGTTTTCCCAAGAAGTGCCATTGTTAGGCATGTCTTCAAGAGCTCAGTTTTAGCAAAAAATCAGGCTGAATAGGTTTAGCCAGAATCCCTCACCCTTGATAAATGATCACCCATGATAAATGATCACCCTTGATTCCGCCTCTACCATTGATATCTGATCAATTCTCTTGGATTTTCTATGTACATATATCACTTATGAATAGTCACTTTTCTTTCTTTCCATCCACTTGTCTTACAGCACCAGGTGGGATTTCTAGCACAACTTTGAACAGATGTGCTGTGACGATTTGGATTACTCGTCAAATGTTCACTCCTTACCCCTTCCTAATAGAGTATATTTCGCTGTTTCATTGATGTTGGACTTGTCCATGTGACCTGCTAGATGACCAAGCGAACATTGGTGGACATGATGTTAGCAAAGGCCTGAAATACCTTTGAGCCACTGGGCTTGTTGTTTCTGTGCTTCTGCTGCACCGTATAAAGAGCATACCTCAGGTAGCCCACTGGTCCCAGACGCACAAATCACATGGAGCTGACAAGAAGCAAACCCACAACCTATATCTAAGGCCAGATGAATCCAGCTGGGATTAGCAAAGCTGCCTGGTTGGCCTACCCATGTGTGAGGAGGAAATGCTTTTTTGTATGCCCCTAAGATTTTTGTATGATTGGTTGTTATGCATTGTTCCTGTGGCAAAAGCTGACTGATACAAGTGGTGACACCCTTTCTTATTTCTGATCCAGACATTTTACCGTTAAATATATTTGCTCGGGTTTATTTTATAGACACATTTTGTAAAATTAAGGTAACCCCTATTTCTCATTTGCTATGTTTTTAACATGAATGGATGTCGAGTTTTTATCAAATGCTTTTCCTGTGACTTTTAAGATCATCATATGATTTTCAAATATTAACGTGGTAAATTTCATTAATTTTATTCTGGGAATTAACCCAACTGAGCTATGATTGATCACACATTGAAACAGCATATCTATATGCAGTTCATTATTTATTATGTAATACATGAAATTCAATATATTTCTGGATTTCAGTGTGCTTCTATTTTATTTAGGATTACTGCATCCAAAGTGACATTAGCATATAATTATTCTTTTTTGTTCTGTCCTGGTTGGGTTGAGTCATCAAGATTATGATAGTCTCATGAATTATAGGGTGTCCACCCTTCATTATTTAGAAAAGATTATGAAAATTGTTACCATTTTATTGTTAAATGTGTTAACTCACCAGTGCAACCTACACGGAACTGTAGGTTTTTTAATGGAAAGGTTTTTAATTACTGAATCCATTTAATAGTGCTAGGACTTTTTGATTCCCTATTTCTTTTTGTACAGTTTTGTTTTGGTAAGTTATATTTTTCTAGAAAGGTTTATATCCCATCTCAATTTTCAAATTTTTGAGGTTATCCTCAATACATTTTCTTTCCAGTATTTGCAGGATCTGTAGTGATGTTTCACACTCAATTCTTGGTATCATTATTTTCTTCCTTATTCTTTAAAATTTTTAAAAATTTTTACTTCAGAGAGAGAGGAAGTATGAACAGGTGGCAGGGAGAGAAAGAGAGAGAATCCAAAGCAGGCTACATACTCAGCACAGAGCCCGACATCGGGCTCCATCCCACAACCCTGGGATCACAACCTGAGCTGAATTTATGAGTTGGATGCTTAACTGACCTGAGCCAGCCGGGCGCCCCCCCTTATTCTTTATTTATCTCACCAAGGTTAATCAGTATTATTAGTCTTTCCAGGCAACAAATTTTTACTTTTGTTGATTCTATTGTATGCATTTCTATTCCATGCATCTAAGCTCTGACCTTTAATATCTCTTTCTTTATTTTCTTTACATTTATTTTGATCTTTGCCAAACTCCTTGAGACGACTGCTTTGTCTTTAATTTTCAGCCACTTTTTTCTAATACATACATTTTAAAGCTATAATTAGTATTAGCTTTAATAAAGTTCATTTGCTGAATCCAACCAGTTCCATATGCAGTATTTTTGTTTAGTTCAAAATGATACACACACAGAGGAATGCTCTGCAGCTGTAAATAAATAGAATAAAGAAGATATGTATTAATATAAAAATGTATCTAAGATACACTGTAAAGTTAAAAGCACACTGCAGTGCAGTATGAATTATTCCTATCCTTTGTAAGAATGGGGGGTGGGAGTTTCTTTTCTTTTTTTTCCAGCTCTTTTCTGGTCTCATAACCAATTGTTGTTACCCAATAACATCTTAAATAGGTAATTAGTGGACGAGTTAGTCACAAAAATAAAAATTTTCTGTGTATTCTGATTTACCCTATAGGAACATGATTAAAGGGTTAAATAAGGAAGTCACTGTTTCATGAACATAAATGGCTTAAGTAAGGGATGGGGAGGATAGGAAGAGACAGAAGGATTAGCAGAGCGGCTTGTAACAATTTTGACACACTTTTTTATTTGTTCACAACATTCTGAACAAAATGATATCACATTTAAACTATTGCTTTTACATATGAAGTTAATTGTTTTATCCAAAGTAGACAAAAATCGATTTCTTTAAGTTGACAACCAGCACTTTTTCCCCCGGGGAAAGCCACTGCTTATTTTTTTAATACATTAACAGAACCACAGAATTGCCCTATAATTAAAAAAAGAAAGAAAGAAAAAAAAAAGGATTGCCCTATAATAGTTAGGTCTTACCTGAACTACATTTAAACTTTTTCTTGTCAAAAGGTGAAGCCAGAAAAAAAGAACCAGCTCACTCATGATTTCTCTCAGATGTTTAATAAGTCCCTTCGTCTTTGTGAAAAATCTGCTTGTGTGGAGAGGTTCATAAATGTGAAAATGGAAAGGAAGCCTCCCCAGACTTGTTCAGAGAGAAGTCAGGCGGACCATTTATCCTGAGAAAATAGCTGCTGGCCCCTGATCATTAATTCTAAACATTATTGCCCTCCAAGCCAAACTTCTCTTCCGTGCCATGATAGTGTGTAATCTTTTCTGCTCTGGAAACGAGAATTCCACTTTCCACTCATGTAATGCTGCTCCTTTGAGCAAATCTTTGACCAAGCTCTATTTCGCTGAATGCAAAGGGGAGAAACAGTATTTAAACAATTATTAATACTGGAATAAAAATGAAGAGTACATATATTTTT